GAGCCTACTTAAAACAAAACAAAAAATGAGGTTTTAAGAGCACACCAAAAAACTGACTAATAGGATTTCAGATTCCATTTTGTAACTAACGTTTAAGAAACTATCACTTACTGGGTGTTGGTGCAGCGTCAAAGAAAAATAGCCACAACTACCTAAAAAGGCTATTAAAATGTTCCTCCATTACCCAACTAGGTGTCTCTGTGAAGTCAGACTTCCTACGCATTCTCCAACATACTGCAAATGAATGCTAAAGTAGTTAAGAAAATCCAGCTGACACACTTAAAAATGGATACACTGGTAAATTTTTAATGTGTATTTTAACAGGTTTGTTTTTTTTTTTTTAAGCCAGCAGTTTTTTATTAATCTGGACATTCAGGAGACTGGCAAAAATGTAAAACTGTACCACTCTTCTCACCAAATTTCTCTCATTTTGAAAATACAGTTAAATTGTTGAATCACTGTAATGTATGCCTGAAACTAAAAAAAACATAACTACACTGAAATTTAAAATAAAATTGTTAAAAACAGTTACATTTTTGAACATGTAACTATTTAAGTTTGCTTTTTAAAAAATCTTTTTAATTTTTTTAATTTATTTCTGAGAGGTGAAAGAGAGCGAGCAAGCAGGGGGAAGGTCAGAGAGAGAGGGAGACACAGAATCTGAAGTAGCTCCAGGCTCTGAGCTGTCAGCACAGAGCCTGACACGGGGCTTGAACCCACGAACCGTGAGATCATGACCTGAGCCGAAGTCAGATGCTTAACCAACTGAGCCACCCAGGTGCCCCTTAAGTTTGCTTTTTTTTGAGACAGACAGAGAAAGCATGAGAGAGAGTCATTATGCACTATACTAACAAGTACTTTCATTGAATCAGCTCACAGGGCAGAGAGAGGAGAGAGGGAGAATCCCGAGCAGGTTCCCCGCAGCTGCAGTGCGCAGAGCCCAATGTTCCACTTGAACTTACAAAATCATGGGAACACGACCTAAATCAAAATCAAGAGTCAAACGCTTAACCGACTGAGCCACCCAGGGGTCCTGAACATATAACTATTTTTATTAAAATGTTACTTATATTAACAAGTGATTAATATATTACTTATATTAACAAGTGATGGGTATTTTGAAATAAGGTTCTCTTAAACATTTGTTTCAATTTCTAATATGATAAATATCAATAAGGGACATAAACAAGTGCTCTTTAGTTTCTCCAGTAATTTTTAGGGGTATAGAGGGGTCCTGTGGCCACAAAGTTTAAGGACCAAACCATGCGCTGACAGAGAGGCTCATAAGTTGGTTTCAGCTGATCCTGATCATCCCCGTCCCAGATTCCACCCCCTTCACAAAGCTGTTCGTGTCGCTCACTTGCTTTCTGGTTCTGCTATTGCCACTATCAGCACCAGGCTTTGGGGGATTGACCTTCCAGCCTATTCTAAGGAAATGAGCCTCTCTCCCTACCTCAGGAGAGCATGCCAGCATTTTCTTACAAGTGCAATGCAGCAAATGTTGGGGAAAACGATGAAAACCTGATTTACAAGACCAACCAAGTTTTACAAAGTACAATTTTGCTAAAACTGACCCAAGGTTGGCCACAGGTTGGCTTGGCTGGTACAGTCTACCAGGGCATGAATGAGACTGACGAATGTCACAGCTTTATCCAACCTTCCTAGGGGAAGACTACCATCGCCCTTGGCCCATTCCTCCGTCTGTGGTAGCTCCAGCTAATTTGTGAGCCACTCGGTTTCCTAACCTCCGTCCCGCATGAACATCTTAGCCTGGCCAGTCTACAACTCACATGGCAGTGCCCTTCCTGTTTGAAAAATTCTCACCTCCTTTTAAAATTCCCTCCAAGGATGCTAGTTCCTGCTGGGGAAGAAATGTCTTTAGGTGTCTCATATGTAACGTACAAATAATGCCAAGAGTCACAATGGATGAGGACCCCTCAGTCTGGCTCTTTTCGTGGTCAGCAGCCTCTTCACCACCACAAGAGGGGACCTGCAGAATTCTAATGATTAATGATCATTGCCTTATAAAAACCCCAACAGAAATACCAACACTGAACTCACCAACCAAAAGACAGAAATTCAGGCACATGCACATGACAGGACATTCACTGTTTTCTTTCACTGCAAAATAGACACGTGACCTTGACCAGTAGGCAGAGACACAATCATTATCTGAACCACGCTGGCTAGTAGAGAGCTCCAAAATTTTTTCACTTACGCTATTTGCTTGTTTTTAATTTTTCCCTTTCTTAGTTAATTCTACCTGAAAAGATTACCCTCCTTCCTTCTTCATGAAACCTGCCATTCAGCAAACCATATCCTTAACTTTCCTTGCCAAAGGCTAATTCTGCTCAAAAGCTGGTCCTCAGAATTAACAGCTGTGTGCTCCTTGCTGAAAGGCACAAAAGTTAGCCTGAAGGAGCCTAAATTGTCACCTGGGGCTGCCTGTGCATCAACTCCACAGATGTTTGTCGCCTCCAATCCCAGATGTCAAGCCAGATTTTACGCTTCATCTTATCTCTGCAACTTGCCATCCATGAGCCTACGTTTCAACACGCACAAGACAGATCCCTCTAGGGCGCAGGTGAGCACAGACCTTCTCCTCGTTGTGACTTAAGAGGAGGCACTGAGCTGTCAGCTCCAGGCTAGCTCTACAAGTGGTGGGAGTGCATGCTGAGGTGGGAACAAGCCATCCAAGCTGTCAGGCAAAACAAGCAGTGCACCTGAGCAAGCAAACTGCACCTAAAACTGGCACCTGGCTCTTAACTGCCAGCTGGCAGCGAGCTAGGAGCCCAGATTGCCAGTTTGGGACAGCCGTGGGCAAAGGCTAAAGCACAGAGTGCCTCATCCCCCCATCAGTTTGAGGAATGGCCCCAACAGGAGGCCAGAAAGGAATTCTTCTAAGTGTCAGCTATTAGCACTTGGGGAAGGTCTTGGTTACTGGGGCCAGTGGGGAACGATCTGTCCCAACACGCATCAGCAGATCTCTCCCCCAAGTGTTCCATGAGCCTCAAAAGTTGGCTTGGGGGGAAAGCCTTGTTTTATTTCTGCATCTAATAATGAGATAGCTACCAGACACTCCCTTTGTAAAAACATGATCTGTCAATTTGGAGGACTGAGCACCCTGTTTTATCTTCCTAATGTTTAAAAAGGGAAAATTAGACGTTTGTAGATATCTTCTGACAGTTTCACCTTCTGTATTTGTGATTCTCTATCTATGCCAGGAAAAAACAACAGTTCCAGACAATCTTTTTGGCTTGTGGCCCACGGCAGAACAGAGCAGCCACCCCTTTGGACCCAGTGGTTTGTCCCAAATGGTGTGAAAGGACACATCTTTCCATCACTCTGTATCACACTATTTCTCCCTCTCTTTAATAATAATTGTCTCTAGGGGCACCTGGGTGGCTCAGTCAGTTAAGCATCTGACTTTGTCTCAGGTCATGATCTCATGGTTCATGGGTTCGAGCCCCGCATCGGGTTCTGTGCTGACAGCTCAGAGCCTGGAGCCTGTCTTCAGATTCTGTATCTACCTCTCTCTCTGACCCTTCCCTGTTCATGCTATCTCGCTCTCTCACTCTCTCGCTCTCTCTCAAAAAATGAATAAAACTTTAAAAGAATTTTTAATAAAAAAAATAATAATTGTCTCTTACTTTTTGGATCACTTCCAAAATCCTATTCCTGTGCTGAAAATTCTTTCAACCTTCTCTCTCAGTGACTGGCCACCATATTTAAAATTACACACACACACACACACACACACTCCATATCCCCCTTTTTGCTTTATGTTTTTTCCTTAAAACTTAACACAAAAGAAACTTTTTACTCATTTGCTTACTGTCTGACTGCCCTGTTAGAATGAAAGTACCAGGAGGGCAGGAATTTTTGTCTGTTTTGTTCACTGCTGTATTCTCAGCACCTAGAACTGTGCCCAGCACAAAATAACTTATTTATTGAATGAACAAGCCAGGGGTTCCTGGCCTGTTTCAGATTCTGCAACTCAATTTTTTGTTCTCCATTCATACCACAAAAACTTTAAAGGTCTCACTCATTTCTGACTCCAAATAGTCCCCAGGTCAACTCCTGAAACCTGAAAAGCCACCTCTCATTCAAATAATCCAGCCTCTCATCCCCTAAGTCATCTGTTTAAATCTGGCTCTACGTCCTACCAAGTTCATCCTATTAATAAGCATTTCTGTTCTACCACCTCCACTGGCAGTGTCGCTGTCTTGGTTAAGGCTACTATCGACCCTGCCTGGGACCTACTACAACCCCCTGATCTCCCATCTCATACCCTTCCAACCTACATTCTCTAGAACTGACAGAGTAAACTTTCTAAACTTGCAAATTAGATCACCTAAGTCTTCTGCATAAAGCCTATCAGTGGCTCCCCATTACCTACAGGATGAAATACACACTCCTTCTCATGGGACCCAAAGCCTTCCCTGTCCCGCTGAACCACGTACTTACAACTGGTTGACCCACCAAGAAACACAACCCTGAGCCTTTGCCCATGCTACTCCCACTCCACCAAATGTTCTTTTATCCACCTGGAGAGCCACCACTCAGTCTCAAGACCCGCCTTGGTATATACACCTCCATACAGTGTCCCTGACCCTGTGCGCACTCTACAACACTCGGAAGTGTGAGCTTGCTGAGGTCAGGAGCTGTTGTGACTCGAGCTGCGCTTCCACAGCGTGGGACACATAAGAGCACAGAGATTTTCGAGGAATGGATATGCAGAAATAATCAAAGTCCACCCTTCCACAAATCCTTCCAGATAAATTACAGAGCAGTAGCTACTTTTCACACTGCCAGGCTAGTTTTGGAGTGCCCCATTCATTGATGTTCATTTCTACAGAGTACTCTATGGCATATTTTTAACCCCAGTATCAGAAAAGGGGATGAGAGGTAAAGGCTAATGCCCAGCACTATAGAGAAAATATCTGCCACAAACTGCAAGACAGCTAAAATAAATTGTATTTTATTTATTTTATTTTAAAAACAGGAGAGCATGAACGAAGTCCTGCACTACCACAAGTTATGCAGTCGAGTTTCCCACATTTGGGGAAACCACAGGGGTCAGTCAGCACATCGGAGTACGATGGATAAGCCTTACTCTGGGAACACCACCTTCATGATCATGGAATCTCCCCCTGCCAGCTAAGTATAGAAATTTTAAATATATAACCTTAGCTTCACGTATAAAAAGGGTTTTCTACAAACTATGCTATCTCCTCAATTTAGCATATTTGTACAATGACAGGAGAACACTGTGGCTTCAAAAAGAGGCGGGAAGTTGTGTAGACATCCTAGATTACTGGAGTCCTATCCACAAAGGTTTCCAAAATGAGCTGAATAAAGCAAAAATCATGGTCTCAGGGAAAAATTTAAAGGAGGGAACACCATATAAGAGTATCACCGTTTTAGCTAAGCCTTCCAACTTTCCCTACCTCCCATCCAGAAGTAAAACTTTTCCCTAGAAGTGTACAATGTACAAAAATTTGAAGAAAAAATTAATTTAGCAAATTTATACTATTTGAAGTTTAAAAATTCAAGAAACCTATTCTGCCATTTTTGAGGCCCCTGACTTCTAAATTGAAAATAAAATTACCCATAAATTAACAAAAATGAGTACTGCCAAAAAGTTAAAGACTTGGCGGCTTCCAGACATACTTAATGATGACATCTGTTTTTATTTCTGATATTCAAGTAATACACCGCTCAAACGATCACTTACAAAACTGCTATCATTTTCATAATGTTGTACAACACAACTCCATTCCCTGGAATCTGTCCCACAGCCCTGAGGACAGAGCCTGCAACACTCAGACCCTAAACATGTCCAAGTGTTGAGCAGGGATTACATCCACACCGCACTCCACCGGCATCTTTAGACTCAGAGAGTGGGAATCCCTCTCCTGTAGGGAAAGGCACCTGCCATAACAGAACGTCTCAGGCAAACTGCGAAGTGTAGCACTGAGAGTTCTCCAGACAAGAGGGAATTATCAAGTGAAAATATTTCTCTAGTATACCAGTAAATTCTTCAACTACTAGCAAAATTAACATAATAGAGAAAAGTCAGAAAAATAAAGCACTCTGGCCAGATAACAAGCGAATTGCATAGAGAACTCTAATCAACAAGCAGAGACAGAAAACAGCGGTTGAGCACATAGGATGAGGTCAAGGTGACGACCTAGTCAGGCCCCTGTACTCAACCACTTACTGTCTCTGATCGACACTGTTACTTCTCACACCTATGATTTAAGCTGTTACATCTCCCAAGGACTCTTTCCTGGAGCTTTTTACTGTGTGATCGTGCAACGTGTGGGCACCGCAACGCAAGAAGCTTTACACGTTTCGGTTTTTTAAAAAATCAATGTTATTTTCGCCACATACTTCCAAAATACACATTCCCCCCAACCCCGAAGGCTTCAGTGAAGCCTAAGGACTGTTTAAAAAAGGGAGGTGGACGTGGGGGTTAGTATTTTGAATCCTCACTTTTGGTCCCACTTGCTCATATGTCACTGCCCAGGGCGTAAACAAAATTTTTGTCCTATGTGAAAATAATAAAAATTTTAAAAGCCCAGTAAAAAGATCAGGAATAGCAGTAAGAGCTTAAGACAGAGATAAGGGACCAGATACAAATCCGAGGGGCTAGGGATGGGGAGGTGGGTTCTAAACACTGCTCTGGGTGTATTTCTAAAATGCTGTGGTCTATATGGTAAGACAAATACCATGATCAAAATGAAAGTTAAAAGCTGAAAAGACAACTTTTAAAAAGAGACTAAGGCAAAGACAGTGTGCACTTGGGGGTATATAATTCCATCTAATTCTCAAGAGTCATGCAGGGCTAACCCAACTTCCTTATTCCAGGAAAGTGAGGCCTCAAGGCGAGAAAGGTTTTATTCTTCACATTTTTGGAAAAAGGCATGGAGACGTGTTTTGATGGGATTTGGGGACAATCAATGAACACAATGACAATCTGTTAAAGTACTTCCAAGTTTGGCCTGCTGAAGGGCTCAGAGTCTCTAGTATTCATCGGAGCTGCCCCCAGAATTTCAGAAACAGTAACAGCTGACTGGCAGGATACGCATTTCCAAAGTTCTCCTTCCTCCTAAAGGTCTCATCTAGGTCAGCACTGTCCCAGTGTGAAGAGATCTGTGATATTTGACTCACCAGAGAAAAAGTCTCACCAGCCCTGAGGTGCCCCCATGGTGAGGTGTCCTGAGACAACTGATCTGCCTCCAGATACTGACACTAGAAAAAGATTGTTTGGTTTTTATTTTCCCCAACACAAACAGGACTGGGGAGAGAGATGACGAGGCAAAGAAATGCACATACCTTTCAACTGATCAGCAACAACGCTCTGGCCGAGGCGTTCGGTCACCCTCCCATCTTCCATTTCATACCGATCATCTAGGTATTTTGCAGTGGCCTCAGAAATGTGAACCTTGCCAGCCACTCCCAGCTGCTCCATGAGATTGGCTAAGTTCACATCATTGGACCACACATCGAATTTGAACCTCCTCATACCCAAAATGCCACACAAGACGGTCCCTGTGTGAACCCCGACACGCATGTTCACCATCTCTTTCTTCTCCTGGCAGAACTGCTCGATGGCTCTGATCATGCCCAAGCCCATCTCAATGCAGCAGTAGGCATGGTCGGCCCGGGGTTCTGGACACCCTGCCACACAATAGTAGCAGTCTCCCAGGGTGCTGATTTTCTCACACTTGGTCTCTTCACACAACCGGTCAAAGCGACCAAACAGATCATTGAGGAGACCCACCAGAGCGTGAGCAGACTTATTGGCACTCATCTTGGTGAAGCCCACGATATCTGCAAATAAAATACTGACTTCATCGATCTGCTGCATTTTAAAAGGGCGGAATGCTATAGGGGCCTTCTGTATGGAAGACTTTTTCTTCCTGTTCTTGGGGCTGGAGGTGGCGTGCCTTTTGACAGAATTCTCGCTCTCCTCATCGCCCTGTTTCATCAAGTCATCAGCTATGATTCTTGGCATCACAGAATGAATCATCCTCTCTTTCAGAGCTTTTTCCACTTCCAGATCCTTCCCGTGCATAATTGACTGTCCCACCTTGAGAAAGGTGCTCCTGGATCTCACCTGCGACATGATAAACAGGTGGATCCCAATGGCGTGAACGCAGACGTGGAGCAGGGCTCGGCTCAGCAGCTCCCAGTGTGGGGCCCCTGCTCCAGGTGGGGGAAAGCAGTCTTTGTCTCGGAAGTGATAGCCAAAGGTCTCAAAGAGAACAGAATAGGCCACTCCCAAACACAAGCTCAAGTACAAAGGTAAGTGCATGACGGTGTAGAGCAAAAAGAGCACTTCGATGCACATGGAAAAGCTCCCCACTTGAGATAAGCAAGCGTCCGTTGGCTTGGCGGCGAGGGTGTGATTGGAGCTGTCAACACGTCCTGAGAGAGGCGTTAAAACCTGAAACTGGGCAGCCAGCGTCAGGGCGAACACCAGGAGGGTGAGAACCAGAGAGGTCCACACGTAATGCCGGGCATACACCTTGGTGAAGGTAAACAGAAAAAAGCCCACGCACACGACGAGGAAGCACAGAGCAGGGGCTACCATGACGATCAGTCTGGACCGCATGTGTACCCCAAAATAGATGCTCCACAGAAGGCAGGCGAAGCCGATGTAGAAGAGCGCATACCGGAAGCGGCGCTGGGTCTGCGGGAAGCAACGCTCCATGCAAGCCTCCTCCAGGTTCACCGAGTCGAACTTGGGGTCCCACCACCGGCTGGAGGCCCTCTCGAACAGCTGGGGCAGCTTCTTCTGCCTGCGCAGGCGGCCTCCGGCGCCCACTCTCCGAGGGACGCCCCCCGAGTCCCCGGAGCTGCTACAGCTGGAGGAGATGCTGTACTTGCAGTGCTTGGGCTGGCTGTTGGAGGACAGCTGCTTGGGGTTGATTTTGACCCTCACGCTGTTGCTGTCTCCGCTGGAGTCACAGCTCACCTCCGTGCTGTGGTGCTGCAGCAGCTGCTGGTGGGGCGGGGAAGCCATGTTGCCGAGCGCGCAGGACCTTCCCGGCCGGGGTGACTGGTACCTGTCGGCGAGACAACCCGAGTTACACCGCCATTCATCCCTACGCAGGGACACACTCCCCTGAAGGCCACGAGCTCTGCCAGCGTGCTCGGCGGTGGCCCCGGCGGTGTCCTCGGAGAGGCACCGTATGCTCACAAAAACTGCGGCTAACGTCGAACCGGGGCTTGCGCCGTCCCGCCCCGAGGCCGCCCGCAGCATTCGGGGCTGACCTGGCAGCCCCGGGCCGGCGGGGCGGCGGCGGCGCCCCCCGAGCCCCCCGCGCCGCCCGCCCCGCGCACTCGCCTGCTCCGCGAGTCCTGCGAGCCCTCTCACGCCACCAGTCGCTCTCGCCGGCGCCGCTCTCCCGCCGGCGGCGGCGGGCCCCTCATGCCGCGCCGCGCGGCGCCTCCCCTGCGTCAAAGGCCGGCGGCCCCGCGGGAGGTTGCGGGTCGGCTGCGAGCGGCGGCGACGAGCCCGCGGCGCTGCGGCCGCCCCCCGTCGGCGCGGCCCGTCTAGCGGGGCCTGCTCCCAGCCTCCGGGGCCGGCCCAGCGGGCGGGGATGCCCGGCGCCCCCGAGACGCCGGGCGCCGAGCGCAGGGCGCGGCGGGCGCGGGCCCCTCAGCCGGCCGCCCTGCGCGGCGCTGCCGCAGAGCCCGCTCCCGCGACGCCGACCCGGGACGCCCGCCCGCCCACGCCCGGGGCGGCCTCCCGAGCTAGCGACGTCGCCGCGGCCGCGGCCGCCGCCGTGCCCCGCGCTGCCGCTGCCTCATGTCGGAAGAGCCGCCACAGCCGCCGCCGCCACCATCTCCGGCCCCCTCCCCCTCCCCCTCCCGCTGTCACTGACAGACTCGCGCCCGCGCCGCCCCTCGCCCCGCCGCAGCGCGCACGCGCGGCCCGCGGACGCCGCCGCCGCCGGGCCCCGGGCACGCGCACGGTGCGCGCGCCTGGCCGGCGGGACAGCAGGGGGAGGGCGGGGAGCGAGCGCCGCGGCTCCGCCCTCCAGTCCTCCGCCCTCCGCCCCGGGGGCCGCGAGGTGTGCGTGGGCGCCGCGGGGCTGCGGGACGTGCGGCGGGGGCGGAGGCGACGGGGTTCTTCTGCACCCATTCTCCTCCCGGCTCGAGCCCCCAGATCCGCTGGAGTTAAACCAGTGGCTCCTGCTAGTTAAGGAGCAGCCGGGGTGCGACGTTTAGGAAATCAAAAGGTTTGCCTCTCCGTCAGCACACCCTTTGGTATACATGCAAGGTCACAACTATTGCATTTGCCGAAAGGGAGGCACCCCTTCCTCTCTAAGCAATGAGCACGGGTCCCGAGGACACTAGCTGCTCCTTGAGCTTGCTTTCCTGCAACTAGGGCAGTCTGAATCCCAGACTCCGGTGGCTGGAGGAGGGCGGTGGGGTCAGGCCTCAAGGGGGTGCCACCGATCGCTGGCTCTTCCAGACCCAGATAGGTTCCTTTCCCCTGCATGGGTCCTTTCCCCATCCTCAGGAACAACTGCTTTTACCCTTACACAAATGAAACTTCCAAATGAGTCAGCTACTCTAAGGGCAGAACTATGGTGGCCTCCAGGAATATTATCTGCAAAGTGTAAATACTGTCCTGTACTCCCCACCGCACCAATCCTGCTCCCCCACCATAGTTAGAACCTGCTGCCAGTCACAAGGGTTTCTCCTCCTTCCTTCGCTCACTTTCCAGGCCCAGCTCTGGCGCCCACGCCAGGTTTCACAGTTGATTTAGAAAATAAAATGCGGTCTGTTCACATAATGAGATATTATTCGGCCATGAAAAGGAATGCAGTACTGATCCATGCAGCAACCGGGATGAAACTTGAAAACACGACAGTAAGTGAAGAAAAACCTGCCAGGAAAGACCACATTTTGCATGATAGCATTTCCATAAAATACCCAGAACAGGCAAATCTATAGGCAGAAAGCACGTAGGTAGGTGATCGTCAGGGGCTGGCAGTGACGGGAATGGGGATTCCCTGCTGATAGGGAAGGGGTTGCTTTTGAGGGTGATAGAAATGTTCTGGAACTAGGTGGAGATGGTGGGCGCACAACACTGTCAATGCACTGAATGCTCCTGAATTGTACACTTCAAAATAGTTTAAATGGTAAATGTTATGTTATGTGTGTTTTACCATAATAAAGATAAAAGAAAAACAAGAGTAACACAACATCATGACTGTGATATTCCTGCCAAAAGGACATAACCTTGAACTAATCACCAGAAAACATCAGGCAAACCCACACTGAGAAATATTTCTTCCAAGTAATTGGCCAGTAATCATCAAAAGTGTCAAGGTCATGAAAGTCAAAAAGTGAGGAACTGTCCCAAACTGGACTAAATAGAACAAGGGGTCCTGGTATTGTGAATAGCACTGCATCATGCCCATGTTAATTTCCTGGGTTTGATCAGTGTACTCTGATTGCATAGTGTTAACATTAGGGGAAGCCTGCTGAAGAGTCAAGGGGAACTCTCTAGTATTTTTGTAACTTTAAGTCTAAAATTGATTCAAAACAAAAAGTCAGAAAAAGTTAAAAATAAAATCTTTCTTGAGCATCAATAGGATGCCAGACAACTCTGATGTATTCCATTTTTACAGATGAAGAAACAGATTCAGAAGAGTGTGGTGCACAAGCCAGTAAAACAAGATAATAACAGTAAACTTACACTGACTGAACATGTCGTAAGGGCTAGAAACCACTGGATGCTTTCACTTGTGACCTATTTGGTCCTTACCACAACCCTCTGAGGTAGATGTTATTGTCCCTAGTTCAGAGATGTGAAACTGGGGACTGACGAGTGATGTGCCCACAGTCACTCAAAGTCTAGTCTCAGACTCAAAACCAGGTCTGACCCCAGAGGCCACGGTGCTCTCAGTAGCCCTGGCACTACCCTCCGTAAGACTCACGGTGGCCCTTCACCCACCACCTCCCACCACACCAACACACCAAGCTGGACAGGAAGCCCTTGGAGACTGTGCTGACGCTTTACATTCCCCCCATTTAATGCAACCCTGCACTCCTCAATTACTGATTTCCTTCCATAATCTGAAAGATCTGTGTGCTTTTCCTCCTTTCCCCTAACCATCTCAGTCCATCCACCATTTGTGGTTATTTGGCATTTGTAAATTAATTAGTCATGTCAGATTTTTAGACACAGGCATGATTTTAGATCACCCACCTTCCTCCTTCTCTACCGTATGTCTTCTGGAAGCATCTGGACAGCATTCTCTGTGGGTGAAGGCTGTATACTGCCAGAGCCTCCTCGATCTCCAGGTTAGCATGTAAGTCACTCCATAAGCACTCGGCATTGGGAATAATGTTCCCGACACTATGTGTTAGGCTATGGGGGGGTCCAATGATACACTTTCTGTGTCTTTGATGGGCTTATAGTAGCTGGAAAGAAACTGGGGAAGGCGATGGGTTAAGAAAATGGAATCATTGTACATGAGGGAGAATACTACAAAAAAGGTTATTAACCATGCTGTCCTAACCCCAAAACCTGTAGTAGAATCTCTGGAGAGGGGCACCTGGGTAGCTCAGTCAGTTAAGCATCTGACTTCAGCTCAGGTCGTGATCTCACGGTTCATAGATTAGAGCCCGGCATCGGGCTCTGTGCTGACAACTCAGAGCCTGGAGCCTACTTCGGATTCTGTCTCTGTCTCTGTCTCCCTCTCTCTCTCTCTCTCTCTCTCTCTCTCTCTCTCTCTCTCTGCTTCTCTCCTACTGGTGTCTTTCAAAAGTAAATAAATGTTAAACAAAAAAAAAATTTTTTTTAAGAATCGCTGGAGAACCCTGGGTCCCTTCTCTTTAACCCCCAGACAGCATATCGCTGCTTGATACCCAGCAGATAGGGGACAGATGCAACAGCTTTCTCCAACCATCCAACCAGGTTGCTTCCAGATCTGTAGTGTTTTCTCTCCGTCTGTGATGTGCACAGAACTTCCACCCAGATTCTGTGTGAATCAGACTGTGTCCACACAAACTCTACCCAAGTCTTCAGCAAATGTTGCCAGCCTCATCATATCACCCTCGCCCTCCCTCATACGCACGTTCACCTGACCCGCGAGGGCCTCTGCTCCGAACTATCACAAATCGCACAGGGTGGCAACATGACTGGCTTCAAGATAAATAGCACATGGGGGCGCCTGGGTGGCTTAGTCGGTTAAGCGTCCGACTTTCGCTCGGGTCATGATCTCGCGGTTCGTGGGTTCGAGCCCCGCGTCGGGCTCTGTGCTGACTGCCAGCTCAGAGCCTGGAGCCTGTTTCAGAGTCTGTCACTCCCTCTCTCTCTGACCCTCCCCTGCTCACGCTGTCTCTCTCTCTCTCTACTAGAAATAAATATTAAAAAAAAAAAAAAGATAAATAGCACATGAATAGAGCTCTGGCCATTCTGGTCATGCTGCTCCCTGAGGTCTGAGCAGTGTCCACATTATATCTGGTTATCTGGTGGGCAATCATCTCAGAGAACCACCCACTGGAAGGTGGGGTTCCTTGCTCTTACCCAAGCAGGTGTCCCAAGCTATAGTTAACAAGCTTTGAGTCCTTTTTCTCTCCCCTGGTAAGAATGAGTGTGTAGGAATAGACCCACATTTTTTTTCCTCCACCCCAGTGGCTGGTCACAGGTGGAGGCAGCCTGCATGCTGGCAGAGCACTGAGTGTCCAGGAAAAGCAAAAGAAAGCTGATTAGGGAAGATCACCAAAATCTCTGGCAGGCTCTACTATAACCCAGGAGTCTTCGATCTAGCCATCTATATTAATTCCAAATCCTGCCCTGCCTGGTGCATAGCTCAATAATGCCTTTTGGGAGGTGCCTGGATGTCTCAGTCAGTTGGGCATCTGAATCTTGATTTCGGCACAGGTCATGGTCCCACGGTTCATGGGTTGGAGCCCCTCATTGGGCTCCTCACTGTTTGTGTGGAGCCTGCTTGGGATTCTCTCTCCCTCTCTCTCTCAAAATAAATAAATAAACTTTAAAAGAAAAGCCTATGGAATGAATGCATATGGGAATTTAAGAGAGGATGTGTGTGAAATAGTTAAGCTCTGGGTTGCTTTTAATAACCAAACTAAGTAATATTTTATGTAATGCTTATGAGTTTATAGCTCTCTCCACCTACATTTAGAGTAGAAGCTCTGGCTTGAACCTAAGCTTAAATACGTGATGGGCATATTTACGACCCCATGCGGCCAGGGAGGACCAGCCCAGGGGCAATCACATTTTCATGTAAGGTGCTGGCTGGCTCTCCAACAAGTCTGATGGAGAGAGAATGGGGAATTCTGGGTAAAGCCTGATGACTGTCACTCAGATTTGCGGCCTGGCCCAGCTCCTGCTGGACTGTCACTTCCATCCCACCCCGTGGGCAACACTAAGGAACCATGGAGTCAGTGTAAGAAAAACCGCCTGGGAGCTGTGCAGTGGGTTGAAGAGCACTCGCTCCCCATTCATGTCCATCCAGAGCCTCAGAATATGACCTTATTTGGAAATAGGTCTTAGCAGATGGAATTAGTTAAGATGAGGTCCTACTGGATTCAGATGGGCCCTTAATCCAGTGACTGCTGTCCAGGACACAGAGACACGCAGGGAGAAGAAAGCCACGGGGAAGACAGAGGCAGA